TTATCAATAGGGCCTCTTTCTTGGCTCCTGTTACTGAACCAAAGTTTTGCTCACTAGATTGCAGGCCTGTTCCTGTTTTCATGTTATAGGCCTCTATTTAGGCCTGCTGACTCCATGTTACTGACCTCAACTTACTACATTCCCCCACTTTTTGTCCTTTTATGGGGAGGATGTTTACCCATCGTCCCGGAAAAGCATAATGCATGAACTGAAGGTGACCCAGTGGGCTAAACACTGTCATGTGGACACCTTTGTCGTACTGTTCACACGCTCATGCCCCATCTGTCCCTTAGTCTGCACATTCCCTCGTACGACTGATGGACAGATTTTATTTTCCAATTCTTTTCAGTCCCTTATGGTGGGCCTGGGAATGTTAGACCCAGGACCGTACTGAGGAATGCAGGTTTTTTGATTGAGTTTTAACAGGCTTTTCAAATAATTAATATGGAAATGGTGTATCTTTTGTAGAGTATTTAGGCATATTTGCTCAGTGCACCTATGTATATATGGCATAACCTTATAGCCATTTGTAACTTGGTATTGTGATTTGGCTCGTGTGGTACTGCTGATAGCCATACACTTCAATTAGGGCATATATAATTACCATTTGTACTATTATTAATAGTAGACTGAGTGTTTTTTAGTGATTTTAAATACTGGGATAGACATTGTTAGAGTGTGTCCCACAAGATTATATATAAGAAGCAAAACAGAAATTTGGAGTAGTGACATTATAAATGAGGCCTTTTATAATAAATGTTTTGTACTTCATTACCCAGTGCTGTCCATTCATGTTATACATCAGCTTTACTGCTGGTGGTCACCCTCTGCAATAGACTTTGCTAGGCAAGAACCAGGAATGGTTAGCGTCTCTGTTCCATTGGTTGCAGTGCTCTGTGACACACCAGTCAGTTGTTTTTTATGGATTCTGTCTTCCAGACAACTTACTGAATGGACAGTAACCAGTTTATTAATTATTGCTGTGTTAGGATTCAGGATTGGTCCCAGACACTGAACAAAATTGTTTGGAATAATATGTGCCTCGGTTTAGGTTTAATGTCACTGATCCAAATCATTACGAGTAATAACAGGGATTTGTTTTTTAACTCAAGTTGTAGTTTTATACACTTAATTTTCTTTTGTGATTCTCTCTCTATCCTTTTTTTTTTCCTGTTGAAAAAGTTTGGTTAGCTTTATGCATTATTGCTATACTATTCTTATAACTGCATTTAAAAGTAAAAACAAGGTTATAAAATTCATACTAAAATTGACATTTTGTTAATGTTACCTGAACCTTAATATTGGACCTTTAATGTTAAGGGTCTGGTCTCCCTTACATTTTCTTTGAATTAAAAAATATAAAAAACTTTGATTAGTAAAAGAAAAAAAAATTGTTTGCAATTGCATTCTTTGTTGAGGCATGAAATATATGTAACTCTGAAAAAAAAATAGTATTCATAAAATGATTATAAAATAGTGCGGTACCACATTTTAAAAAAAGTATAAAAATTGACTTTTGTTGCAACACAGTAAAAATAATTTTTAAAAAATAGTCACGTGACATACAACATACAACAAAAACAACATACATGACATATAGGACAACTTAAAATTTAAAAACAAATGGCACCAACATTACATTTATAACTATACAAAATAAGAAAAAAAAAGTTAAACATTTAAATCAGCAAATTATTACCTTATTTAAAACTATCAATAAAACCAAATATTTTGTATCAATTTAGTAACTTATGGCATTGCTCTTTACTTTATATTAAGCTTTATTTTAAAACTCTGCTATACAGGTGTACTGAAATAAAAAAGAAACACGTTTCAAATAAAAGTTAATAGAAGCAGAGTCTGCATGTCTGTTACCTAACAATCTTATCTTCAGGAAATTTGGAAGTCATTCTAGCTGTTGCATTCCTGAAGGGTTAAAATAATTAATTTATGGGAATTGTTTTTAAAATAAAGTTTTACCTTATTTTTTTCTTATTTTGTTCTATTTTTAACCACTTTATAGTTTAAAGATTTCTATAAAAACTAACTTTTAACAGAAAGAGAAAAAATCAAAAGGCGGAGGGTTCGGAGATGAAGATAAAGAGACTCGAGTCAAGAGAGTTTAACTCTTAAAGTTCTCATAAAGTACAGGCAGTAGCAAATTAAGCAAACTAAAAAAAGGCTATAAAGGAAAACATACCTGTACATAAAAATATCTCAAAAAGAAGAATGCATTTTTGCTGAGCGCAGAGTATTCTTCCATGGATTAGAGTAGTTGGAAACCTGCACCCTGGATTTTTATCCTCACTCTAAGATTATAGTGGGGGTAGTTACCTGCACTTGTAAAAACTGAATTTGTTCCCCCAGTGTCTGTTGTTCTTGTCTGCATGCTAGATGAATTGTGTGAGTGCCCATATATGCTGCTCTTAACTGTTTTGCGGCAACTCCATGAGTTAATGCATCAATTCTTGTTAGCCTGTTTAATCTTGCTTTTTCACTTTGAAATTCTTTTTTACTCACATTCTTAAGATCAAGTCGCAGC